CCAACCTGCTATAGCGATGGCCTCCAACCTACTAGCGATGGCCTCCACCCTAGCGATGGCCTCCAACCTACTATAGCGATGGCCTCCACCCTACTGGCGATGGCCTCCAACCTAGAAGGGATGGCCTCCATCCTACTAGCGATGGCCTCCAACCTGCTAGCCGTGGCCTCCAAACTACTAGCCATGGCCTCCAACCTACTAGCGATGGCCTCCAACCTACTAGTGATGCCCAGTAGCGATGGCCTCCAACCTAGTAGCCATGGCCTGTGTGTAAAGGTTATCGAAGTACTATACCTGGTAACAGACTGAATTGTATACCCTGGGTATCTATACCTGGCAAGGCGCCAGCTGAGTAAGAAGGGGGGTTCGGGGGGGTGGCCCGAGAAAGCACACTCGAAAGTAGGTGGTGTGTAGGGGTGCACGGAAGCAAGGTTTTGGAGGTGCTTTTTTGCGATTTTAAGAAATACAATTGTCTTCAGTTGCTTGAAGTATCTTGAAGTGCTATACTTGGTAACTGAATTGTAGCTACCCTGGGTATACCCTGGACCTTGTTTCACCACAGACGTGCTCGTTGACAAAAAACGCTGGCTGTCGTTTTGCAGCTTCTCAGGTTTTTTGTTGGGGGGGGCTACCGTAAATATCGACTTTTTTCTGGCACACCTTCATGGTATCTTCCGTTACACCTGGAAGCTCTTCGCTCGCGCAGCCCGTGGTGAGGCCCACTACCTCGGTCCGTTTGGTCGCCAGCCCCTGTGACGATTTCACCTGGTTTCCCGGCTATGCACGGCAGCCCAGGCGCACATGAAATTCGTCACACGTGCCGCACAGACCACATTTTTACCTTCACACCTTTACTTGACATGCAAGATCACTGCTCAGGTGCAAAGCAAACACTTGATGAAACACTGCTCAGGCTTGGCCCTCTTTTCCCAACCCAATTCCCCCCGAGGCCTGGCGTGCAGCGCACTGCGACAGCTGTGGTGGGAAGATTGGCGCCTCGGATGCGAGTGGAACAGAATGGATTGCGCCTTCAGCGGTCCGAGCACACCGGAGTGGCGGCTCGATTTGGTCCCGTTTCTGTGATGGATTTTGGATGACCATGCCGGCAGGTCAGTCTCTAAGCATATCAAAGCCCCTGATGTTTAGGGAAACTATAGAGTTCAAGATTCAATGGGGCCAGCGTTGCTGTGATCTCTCTCATGTGAGAACTCCTACTATACTCTTTCATAGTCAGGAGAGCCCAGGACCTCTTATGACTCTTATGTGTGAACTTGAGATCCCGGAAAGGCATTGCAAGGCTGGGTGCTGCGAGTGATTGGAGTAGGTTCAACGAAAGAAGACGCACGCCTGGAGACCGTTTTCTCCGTTTCCAGCTGTGTCTCGCTTTTTCAGGAAATCACCTCTAGATTTTTTTGCCCAGTCTGAGCTACCTGAAGGACATTGATTTCTTTCGAGACGCCTTTGTCAATTGGTATGACATCAGGATGGGGCTTTTGTGCTCCCTTTGAGTGTGGTGCAGGCGGGCTGAGGACTGACTGATGGAAGACTGGTCTCAGGACACGGAGCACGTGTTCGGCCACCCGATTCTGCAGATTCTGCAGGACACGGTCATTGAAACTGTAGGGTTCACCCGAAAAAACATCCGAAAACGGTTCCAGAACAAGCAGCACGAGGCTTGCTTTGTTTTTCTTTACTCTATTGTGTATGTTTGATGCAAGGAACTTCAAGGACCCCACTAGAAGGAAACAGGCCTTTGTTCTGTAGCAAGTGCAACATCTCAAGATTCAACGGGACTTGCGATGTCCATTTCGCCGGAAGCCCTGTAACAACAGATCTGTAGACCATGAGTCAGACAATGTGTTGGCCCACCTGGCACTTTGTCGGGTTCTAAAGTATTCAGCCACTTCCAGACACTTCGAGGAGGAGATCCACTCACGCGGAGGCTTTGATAGGCTCTCAGGCTCGTTTCAGGCTCGTTTCAGGCTCACCTTCCAGGCCACCTGCCAAAAGAATAACGTTCGTTCCAAAAGACAGCCACAGTCTGGACTCCTTGGTCTCCAGACTCACCTCTCGGGTCGTCAGGTCCTCCCAGTGCAGATCCTGACGACTTGAAGCCGAAGCTCTGGAACATGGCGCCCTGGCGGTGTGTGGCGGTGGGCGGCACCACGTGGTGCGAAGAAGGTTTTTGCATTACCTCTTTAAGTGGGGGGGACATTACAGTTGAACTTCATTAGGGCTTTGTCTTGTCACGTTTGTTTACAAGTCCAGCTCTGCTGCGGTTTCATTTCATCATATGCATCATGCATCCATCATTCGAGTTCTAGAGCAACGATCTCAGCCAAGTGCAGGCTTTAGGCTGTCTACTTTTTTTCACGGAAAAATGTCTGCTCTTTTCACGACCCACAAAAGGACCTTGGTGTCCACTTTTGCTCCTCTTCGGACTCTGGATTCAGTCACCGCTTCGCCATGCCTCGCCAGGGGCCCAGCTTCTTGAGCCTCATCCTCACGCGCCTGAGACCCTCCTCCCAAACCAAGGCTCAGGCTCACCGGTGCAGCCGAACGAAGCCGCACGAAGCCGCACGAACTCTCGACGAGGGGATGAGGTAAGACGCTTTGAGCTGGGAGTCATTACTTACTAGCAATGGGCTACGACCTACTAGCGATGGCCTCCAAGCTACTAGCGATGGCCTCCAACCTACTAGCGATGGCCTCCAACCTGTTAGCGATGGCCTCCAACCTACTAGCGATGGCCTCCAACCTACTATAGCGATGGCCTCCAACCTATTAACGATGGCCTCCAACCTCCTACAGCGATGGCCTCCAACCTACTAGCGATGGCCTCCAACCTACTAGCTATGGCCTCCACCCTACTAGCGATGGCCTCCACCCTACCGGCGATGGTCTCCAACCTACAAGTGATGGCCTCCAACCTACTAGCCATGGCCTCCAACCTACTAGCGATGGCCTCCAACCTACTAGCGGTGGCCTCCACCCTATTAGCGAGGGCCTCTATCCTACTAGCGATGGCCTCCAACCTACTAGCGATGGCCTCCAACCTAGAAGGGATGGCCTCCACCCTACTAGCGATGGCCTCCAACCTACTATCGCGATGGCCTCCACCCTACTGGCGATGGCCTCCAACCTACTATAGCGATGGCCTCCAACCTACTAGCGATGGCCTCCAACCTACTAGCCATGGCCTCCACCCTACTAGCGATGGCCTCCAACCTACTAGCGACTCCAACCTACTAGCGATGGCCTCCAACCTACTAGGCATGGCCTCCACCCTACTAGCGATGGCCTCCAACCTACAAGGCAAGACAGTTTGAACGAAGAGTCGTTGGGTTGGGAGAGTGTAGCACTTCCACGCTTAGGGCCTTAGGGGAGCGTGCTATTGCAGTCACGTTCAGTGCATTCGTCATTCGATCCAAGGAAAAAAGAGGGTTGGCCATCCGAGTGGCTTCAGCCATTTTCAGCCACCAGACCTTACACCCCCCACCCATCCCCACCCACTTGTATACCTTCCGCTTGACAAACCTGCCCTAGGCTCGGAATCGGCAATACCGGGAGGCGCCAAGCCTGTCGGGGCCCCTTCCACCCGACCCAGATGGTCCAGTGGAAGTGCTCGGGAAGTGGTTCTTGCTTGAAAGGAAGCTAAGGAGCTTGGTCTCGAATCATTCATTTGTGCTCGTATGATTTAGATTTTGGACGCGGTCTTTACAAATAAACCCCCTCTGATCCTGATTTTGGATGTTCGAGGCACAAAATTGAGACATGGCGACTCATGACTTCCCACGACGCATTGCCCTTTGCCACGCTCGTCGAAATCAGGTCGTACCATTTTCCTTCGCAGGGTTCCCAGATGGGTGGAACCGTTATTTGTTTCTCCAAACAAACAGTTGTGAAGACAGTCGTGACGGGAAACAAATCCACATGTGAAGAAACATAATAATAAGAACAATATTATATAAACAAAAACATATTGAAGAGAAAAAAACACCTTTATCTGACTAAGTTGTTTCCTCTTCAGATTTTCTTTCGTTCCCTCCAAGCGCCGGCCCTCGACTCCGAGCGGAAAAACCTCGACCAAAGGCCCTCAGACTTGCAGACTTGGTGGACTCAACTGGAACGAAGCCCGGAAAGCGATTCGCGGCGTGTGAAGTGGAGAAAAACGGGAGATGCTTCCGGTTTCTCCCGTGTTTTTTTTGGGAAAAAGGTGGATGAAGAGGGATCCCAGAGAGAGATGGCATCCCTGATGTTTTTTCATTTGGGAAGTGCCCGGAAGTCCTGCTAAACAGGCTTTTTGGGATGTTCGAAAGCCCAACACCAGCTTTCGAAAGGCACATCACCCTCAGCCGGTTGATTCTGGTAGCTTGAGACGAGGAATTCCCCAAATCCTTGTTCCGTTTGCACGGAACACCCACTAGGAGCAAGAACGCTACTAAGGGCTCCTGGCCATACTACTAGGAGCAAAGACGCTACTAGGGGTGCCCCGTGCGGCGCCGGAACAGGTGATGACACCAACACTGCTTCGAGGCCCGGCGTCGTGGCCCTTCGCGCTCCAGCCCCGAACAAAGTGAAGTAGCTTCTTGTTACCAGTAGCGTCCTTGCTCCTAGTAGCGATGCCAGGAGCCCCTAGTAGCGTCCTAGTAGCGACGCTTCGAGAAGTTCTGGGATGTTGGAGCGTAACGGGACTGTGTCCAGTCATGGAAGAGAGTGAGAAAGCTCGACTGGACTACTGGTATGATAAATTGGATTTTGAGAGATACTTGAAGTCTTGTGTCAACATGCAGAATCTGCCGCTTACATGCTGTGACTGGTCGTGTCTCACTGGTGGTGTCACACGAAGCGCTTTCGGCGCTAAGCCGGTTCCGCGATGTGAGGCCTACCCCAGTCTACATGGATTGGCTGGAGGAGGAAGCGTGGAGTCTGTGGTGGTTTTTCTGTTTTGCCGTGGTGCCTTCCGGATGGTCAGACACAGGTTGGTTGTTTTGGTATGTTTTGGTGATCTTGAGCAGCTTTTTCAGGCCCAGACCCGAATGTCAGGGGGAAACCATTTAATAGCTATCCTTTCTGAATCCCTGCCATTGGCACGGGTTCCTTGACCTGTTGTGTTTTGCTCACAGGTCAGAAGATCAGAACTTCAAGTTTGAAAGGAATCTCCAGAGCTCAAAGGAAAAGGCCCCAGCTTCTTCAAAGCAATATTTTGTCGATTTTTTTTCGTCTTCCTTCAGTGACCTTTCACAGGCCTGTTTATGACCTGAAACAAGATCGAAAGGTATCAAGAGGTCACTTGGAAGAACCAGGATGGACGTATACAGACCATAGAAGTCCAAAGACTATAATATGGTTTGACCGACTGAAGTAAAGGACATTCCTGAACTCGGGTCACCTAAACATCCTAAAGACCATTCTGGACCATTCTTTTTAGAGTCTTTGACTCCCAGGGTATACACACTATGTATTTTGTATACACTTTTTATTGATCCACGCCTTTCTTGGCACGCCTTTCGTATTGCCTGGATGGGTGGCGACAGCTATCGACGGACTTCGGACATCCAGGTTTAATTGATTTGGCCAGAAAAACGCGGAACTTGTCCGAAAAGTTTCCACATTTCATCACTTCTGCAATTCTCGGGACCTGTTGGACAACGGGACCCAAAAGGCTCCCATCGTTTCCGTTTTCCGACGGCCCGTCTTTGCGCCACCAATCCCAGATTCAACATTTTTTCATCCTACATTTCGGTCAGAACATCGAACCCTGAGACAGTCTGTACCTTTTCCATCCGCAACACCATATCGATCGCGTCCGTCCATCTCAGCCGTCGTCGGCCGAAGGAGTCGGATGCCGCCTTCCGACGCGCCCGTTCACCGACCCCGCCCATGCGCGTGGGGATGAGGCGAAGCTCGCTGGTCACCGTTCACCCAAGAAAGTACTGACACAGCGGTTTCTGGAGGGCTTTGGACTCAACAAGCAGAGAGGATACGGTTTTCATTCGCCTTTTTCCAGCATTTTGTAGTTCTGGGTGAGGTTTGATCCAGTCTATTGGTGCTGGTTGCAGAACAGCTAATTTGGTGGAGAGGTTTTTTTCCACAAGTCACCAAAACTCGACGGGCGGACGGGCTGATGTTACTGATGATCCATTGTGTTTGGGTCAATGCCGCAAATGCCTTGCTTGGTGGTTTTGACGAGTGATATCTACACCTGTAGGATCAGGACCAGCTTCCGGGCAGTTGTGAGGAGAAACATCGACATGTTGCATCCTGGACGTGTGAACACGGCTCTATGAATGAGATGAGACCCAGAGGCGATTCTTCATCATAGTAAGGCCAGGAGCTACGTTCGTAGCGTCCTTGCTCCTAGTAGCGATGCCCTTTGCTCCTAGTAGCGAACATTGTTCCTAAAAATTGTTGATCTGACATGACCAAAAGGAGGGTTCGAATGACCCCCCCGAATGACACACAGCACTGTGCGCATCGCCTTCGGTGTTTCATGAAGAGGGAACAGGATTGGAACGGTTTCGCCCCGAAGCCGTTGCGACCGGACTGGGTAGCAAGTAGTAACACATGATGCAAGTAGTAACAAGTGCATCGCTACTAGTAACAAGGGCCTTACTACTAGGAACAAGAAGCTAGTAGAAACAAAAATTAAGAAGCTAGTAGAAAGAGGGTTTGCCATGGGTTGTCCACTTCCATGTATCCTGCTGATCTTGTGAGCGTGAGACGACCCTGTTGAGAGCAGGAGTTCGGATGCCAACCGCGAGGAGACTGGCCGCTCATATGTTGCTGGTGTTTCATTGGTTGTTTCTTCAAACCTAAAATGAACTGTGCCCGAGCGAGATAGAGTCACTGCTTGATAGAATGGAGTGAGAAATGTTCGTGTTGCAAACACCTGTTCAAGCAAACCAGTATGAGGGGCCGTGGCTATGGGTAGATAGACGCTGAAGCTTAAAGGAACAGCTGTGAGAAAGATGCTTACACCGAGCTAGCGGAAACAAGAACCGATGCTTCCGCTTGGACAGTCCCTATTCAATAGTGATTCAGAAACAAATTTGCCAAGATCTTCAGTGATTTGCTTGGGTTCCTTCTAGACACATAGCTTCATATATGAGCAACATCCACGTTACATCAGGGACGGCCCTCGTCTAGAATATTGAACTGTGTGTTTGTGTGGTCTGAATCAGTCCGGCCAGAGGATGCAGATGCCATGCAGGCTGAGCTTTTGCGCTTGCTTCGCGAACAGGCGGGACAGCAAGTGGAATCCTGAAAAACTGGGTTGTGGAGGATTCTGTTGGATGGGCATTTTATGTAGGTGTTTGCCTTTTCTCTTAGGTTGGAGTTGGAGGGCATCGGCTCGGTATTAGTTAGGTTGGAGGCCATCGCTATTAGGTTGGAGGCCATTGGTCTTAGGTTGGAGGCCAATGCTCGTAGGTTGGAGGATCTTATGTTGGTGTCTGCCTTTTTGGTCTCCATGCCGAGTCGCCTCCAGCAATCTCGACGAGGAAGCTCTGATCTTGTAGCCCCCTCCACACACTCCCTTCCACAGAAAACAGCTCCTGTTTGAATTGTCTCCACCCTCACATGCAAATGATGGTAACATCTTCCTGCTGAAGTCTAGCAAAATATCCTACCTACATCATCTATATCAGGCGTGTAGATCGTTTTCCCTTCAAACACTGAATTTGATTTGTGCCCGAGCTTTTCTGTTCAGGCCCGAGTAAATCGGATTCTTGGCAAATGGTGAGATGAGGCGATGGATCATGATGGATCTGCCTGAGACAAGAACAACATTTGCACGTTTGCCAAACATTTGTATGTTTGCCCAGCAGGAGCCTCCTCGTTCATATTTTGGTATTTTGGGGTCTCTTTGTGGTTAATCGGAACATACATCAGTGCAACAAAGCTCAACCAAACTCCTTGTAGCTAATTTGCTGTGATACATTGTGATACTACCCTTAAATATAACAATCAAACGTAAATACAATGAGAGTATAATATAGGGAACAAGGAACAAGGACGCTACTAGGAGCAAAGCGCATCACTACTAGGAGCAAGGATGCTACTAGGGGCTCCTGACATCGCTACTAGCAACAAGAAACTACTAGGGGCTCCTGGCCTTACTACTAGGAACAAGAACTACTGTCTAATGTTGTTTTTGTTGGCAGATTGGTCGACCAATTTCTTCAGCCTTCAATCCGGAGACCTGATGTATCAGAAAAGACACCAAGGAGCTTGCGGATGCATCAGTTTGGCATACCAAGCAATGTGCAGCACTTTGCAGCTCAGCTGCAAGTAAAAGATAGAGGTAGAGACTGAGGTTACTCATGAAAAATGTCTTGAAATATTCCTCAGAGGTCCAGTCAGAACCATGCAAGAATCATCTGGGGTAGGTCGTGAGGGAGACCCAAGAAGATACCCGACAGGCTGAGTTTGTTGGAGGCACCCCGTCGTTCGCTTTGAACACCAGTCCACTTGGAGTCGTGTAGTCTTGATGCATGGTGCAGCGGACGTGAAACATGGTTTTCACAGGAACTGAGTGGTCTGAGACGGGCATCGTGAACTTCCCCGTGAACTTTGGGAGAGATACATCATCCAAATTCAGGGAACTTGCCTGGGCTGAGCTGTGAAGCCAAACAATGTATATTAGTAAGGCCAGGAGCCCCTAGTAGAGTCCTTGCTCCTAGTAGTAAGGCCAGAACCTCCCGTCCTGCGCGCCGGTCCGACAAGCGCGCCCAGATCCGCAACGACCTCGCCGCGGACGATGCAGACGACGCGGCCGGTCACACGGAGGCAGCCGAGGTGGAGGCGGCGCCCAGCGATGAGGCGGAGAACCTGAACTTGATTGTTTTCTTTTTCTTTGTTTCTAATAGAGATGGCCTTCAACCTACTAGCGATGGCCTCCAACCTACTCCAACCTACTAGCCATGGCCTCCAACCCACTAGCATTGGCCTTCAACCTACTAGCGATGGCCTCCAACCTACTCCAACCTACTAGCCATGGCCTCCAACCCACTAGCATTGGCCTTCAACCTACTAGCGATGGCCTCCAACCTACTCCAACCTACTAGTCATGGCCTCCAACCCACTAGCATTGGCCTTCAACCTACTAGCGATGGCCTCCAACCTACTCCCACCTACTAGCCATGGCCTCCAACCCACTAGCATTGGCCTTCAACCTACTAGCGATGGCCTCCAACCTACTCCAACCTACTAGCCATGGCCTCCAACCCACTAGCA